CCAGGGCTGGGGTGGCAGGAGATGCGGGGAGGGAGAGGGGACCCCAGGGCTGGGGCAGCAGGGGGGTGCAGGTGGGGGCCAGAGCTGGGGCAGCAGGGGGTGTGGATGGGGGAGAGTCCAGGGCTGGGGCAACATGGGGGCGCGGGGGGAGCCCAGGGCTGAGGTGGGGGGCAGCAAAAAACCTATAGCTAGCTCTGTCCCTACCATTCACAGCAAGCTGCAGTGTGAGGTTTCAGTTCCACACTCCTTCCCCTTCCCTTTCCTGTTAATTGCGGCCAAGGGAATGCTGGGAAATGTAGTTCTTTCCCTGCTTCAGGGCTGGCTCTATAGGCAGCGAGCTAACCAAGGAACTACAGATCCCAGGGCCCCCTGTTGGTTCTCAGCTCCCATGCTGGATTCTTGCGCCCCTGCAAATTTGCCGCCCCAAGCAACTGCTTGCTTTGCTGGTACCTAGAGCCGGCCCTGGCTGGAAGTCATCTCCCTCCATCTCTGTCACTCTATCGCCTTTCACTATGTCAGACACTAAAATGAAGTCAGCAGCAAGAGAAAGGAAAGCAGTGGCATTATACCCACTCATGGTGATGGAGATGAGCATGCAGTTATAGGGGCAAGGGAAAAAACCATGAGAGCCATGAGCAGTGCTAGAGCTAGAGCTGCTATTAGTGACCAAAATCACTGTTTGTTAAATGAACACTGGATGGGACTGAATGCTGCCATTGCTAGACCACTAGTGACATTAGAGCCCAGGGCTGTATCACAGGATACCATTGCATTTGACAAAGCATCACTTTCCAGAACAAACTGTGAACCTGACAGAACTAGGTACTTGTCTTGGATACAAATGGAACCTGCTGTATTTCATACAGTATCCTTAAAGGCAAAACTGTTCTACTATCTGCACTGTTCTTGTATAAAAGTGTAGCTCAGCTGTGTTCTGTACAGCAGTCTTGTTGACATCATTAAGAATCGTATACGGTGTGATAGCAGAACATGCCTCTTTGTGTAGGAACCAGTGCGGCTGAATGGATCACACACTGAACTGGGACTTGGACCTGTGTTCCACTCCCAGCTCTGCCTATGGTCTGCTCTGTGACTTTTGGCAAGTTACTGCACCTCAGAGAGTTCCCCATCTGTAAAGTGGTCATAATGATACTTAATGACACACTTCTTTGTAGTGACTGGTCCCTGCAGGTGATGTTAGGGGGGAGCTAGTGTTCTCACCTATGTGCAGGGGAGTAGAAGAACAGAGATAGACTCCTGGTACCTTCCATCCTCTTTTGGCCCTGCACAGAGGTCTGGCACAGTCTAGCCAAGGGAACAGACATGCTGAGAAACCATGTGCCTTTGGCCTTGTCTATACTGCCACTTACAGCACTGAAACTTTCTTCACTCAGGGGGGTGAAAAAACACCCCCCTGAGTGATGCAAGTTTCAGCACTGTAAAGTGGCAGTGTAGACAGTGCTCCCAGTGCTGGTAGCTATTCCCCTCGTGGAGGTGGTTTTATTACAGCGTTGGAAGAGCTCTCTCCCAGCGCTGGAGACGCGACTACACAGCCATGTTAAAGCGCTGTCACGGCAGCATTTCAATGTCGGCTGTGTAGACATATCCTTTGTTACATACACAGAGGATATGTCTACACTGCAATTAAAAACCCGCAGCTGACCCCTGCCAGCTGACTCGGGCTCGGGGGCTGTTTAATTGTGTGTAGATGTTCAGGTTGGAGCCTGGGCTCTGCAGCCTGAGCCTGAACATCTACACCGCAGTTAAACAGCCCCACAGCCCTGCCAGCCCAAGTCAGCTGGCACAGGCCTCCATGGGTGTCTAATTGCAATGTAGACATACCCTGTCACTTTTCTGCCCTAGTCCTACTGGGCTTCTGCACTGCCCAGCACTCTGCATAGCCAGACCTAAAGTCCCAAGAGTGGTCAGTTTTACACAGCATTGAGGTCTGAAGCTAGGGATAGACTGATTTGAGCAGCAAATTTGTGTTTCTCTCTGCTATACAGATTAAGCCTTATTATCCAAAAATCATTTCCCATTAGTGCTTATGTGTTTGCCTTTCCTTGACCACTTCTCTTTCCATGGTAAAGGTCAGAGAGTTAAGAGAAGAACTAGAAGTGTCAGCTACAAAAACAGTTTCAACTTCAGCTAGAAAACTGGAATTACAGGGCTGATTTAATGGGATGGATAGTTTCCATCCCCAGGCCTGGAAAGAGGTGTTTTTATAGGACCTCTTTGTCAGCAGTGCAGTTTGGCCACGGTTTAAGTGACTGTTTCAATTCTTCTGCAGCTCCTCACTAGAAGCTGAAAGTCAATTGACCCAGTGCTCTTTGTATGCTGGCCCTCTACCTCCTTAATCAGGAGTACTGAATATAAATTGAACATACAGAATTACTACTTTAAGGTGAAAAGAACAGGAGTACTTGCGGCACCTTAGAGACTAACAAATGTATTAGAGCATAAGCTTTCGTGGCCTACAGCCCATAAGATTCTTTTTGCGGATACAGACTAACACGGCTGCTACTCTGAAACCTACTTTAAGGTGGACAGCTGGCTAGAATGCAGAAAGTTAGCAAGAGTATTAAAGAAGAATCCCAGCAAGGTTATTAATGCACTTTAGTGCATCTATGTGGAGGGGAAGTGGGTACCACTGCAAGTAACCTTAAGTGTCATAAATTAACAACACTTTAATTAAAGCTGAACAATCTTTAGTTTTATTGTTGCCATATGTTTACTTCGGTTCATCAAGGTGCACAGAAGCCTGTGCTAAGAACTCTCACCTCAAGTGGGGAATGTGCAACTTTGATGACCTTGTTAGAATATCCCTAAAGTTTCCAGCACAATTATTAGGCCTTTAGTTAAAGGCTGTTTTTGGCAGTTCCCCAAGATGACCACTTAACAGGTTTCTCTCTAGATAATGCCCATCACTGAGCTTCTGCATGTTACCACATTTGTGACTGCAGGTTGGCTTTTTGGGTCTCGTTGCTACAATTGTATGCGTGCAGGTCACAAGGTGGGGGCAGGGAGATGGCACAACCCCAACATGCAGCCCCAGGTTTGGGGTGTGCGTTGCTCAGCTCATTACAAAGCTGTGCATCAGTATAGTTTCAAGTAATTTTTATTAATCATAATATTTTACTTACATGCTTCTCTTGTAATGCAGCCACGAGGGCAAAGTCAGATCTCCTTATGCTCATTCACTCAGGACTACTTACAGCATGTGAGGAAATGCATGACCAGGAGCTAGAAGTTGTACATTAGAACAGGAGGTGGTCTACAGGACAGGTGGTCTACAGTAATCTGGGGTCCTAAAGATACCATGACAGGGAGACCCCATGGCCTCACCCTCCAGCACCTGGAACAGTGGAGGCAGGGGTCCCTTCTCCTCCCACAGAGGCAGAGGCAGCAGCAAGGGGCCTCCTTTCTCACATGGTAACAGGACCCCACCTTCCTCTGGTAGATGAGATATGTTTTTGGGTGGGTAGTCCAGGATCATTGCACTCTTCTTCCACACGCAGAGTCCTCTGCGATCATAGTATATATCATATCATAGGTAGGGAGCAGTGACTTGTGGATAATCACCCATTGAGATGCATGGGACAGCTCACTCTTCCTGAGCTATCTTTTGGCTGCAGCTGTCACTACATTGATTACACTTGTCATGTTTTGAAGTTTTCTTCACAACTATGAGCGCTAGAAACTTTCTATTTGGAAAACTACAATTTTACTGTAATAGCACAACCCCAGGACTTGGGGCTCTCAGCACGAACCAGTAGTACCTATGCCTTAATCTCACCCTAACTTATATTGCAACTTCTTACACTCTGCTGTTAGTTGCTTTTCTTTCCCTGCTGTAGTGCTCACAGACACCGTTGATCAGTGGACTAAGGGTTGTGTGTACAAATGGGCTTGAACCTGAGTAGATTTAAGTCAGTCACACTAGGCCTTCTAGGGGCCTTGTCCACATTATAGAATCTTACATTTGAACACAATTGGCAGTGTTAGGAGACAATGCTGAGCACAGCTTGTGCTGGTCCACCATGACTGCAAAGCCCTGGACAGTATGTCATCTAATTTGAGGGTTCTCCATTTTCAAACATAAGATTTTTTGTTTGTTTGTTTGCTGTAGACAAGTGCTAAATCAGTTTAAGTTTATGCAACATACATGTTGAGAGGATCTGGAAAAAAGGGTAAGTTCCAATACAGGCTCCCTAGATTTACCTCTGAATTTGACCCTTGTTCTGCAACATAGGACTCCTATTTCCATAGCAACCCATTCCCACTCTGTTGCTACCTATTCTTCATATCCATTGCACCAGAAGGAAGAGTACTAAAACAGCAGAGCTGTTCTGCAATGTCTGGCATTTAAATACCATGTAAACTTATCACTCAATTCTTGAGTCCATCCCTGATGGCCCTTTTGCAACAGCAAACCGCACTGAACCCTAGTACCATAATTTCATAACTGCCAAAGTGTGACAAGAGTCCAGCTCTTTCAAGTGAGTTCTGGTGCACTAAAACAAGGATGGCTACATGACAATATGCAGGGTTCTTGCAATGCCTGGAAAAACTGGTTATGGACAAGGAAACAAGTTGATGAGTTAGCTGAAGCTGATGTGGGGAAATAGACAAGAATCTCTGTAGTTTAATCCCCATTGGCTGTCATTCTCTTTGCTTACCAGAAATGTGCACATCCACCCTGATGTCATTGATGTGCCTAAAAATCTCAGTAATTGGCATATTTTACAAGAAAAAGAATTATCTCCAATCTCAACTGCTGACCAGTTACTAATCCCCAGTAACCCAATCCCTCCAAAAAAGTAGGTCTGAAAAAGTGTATTGCACTTCATGATGTGGTTTCCAATGGCTGAAGTCAGATTTCTGTTTTACTAATCTTTAAAGACTAGCCATTTAGCAATCATGCGACTGGCATAATCTTTTTGGTACAAGATATTAATGTCTTCCTGGAAACCCTATACCTTAGCAAGGTGCAGTCAGAGTTTGGGCCGGGCTTCTTGAGTTAAGACTGGGACAACCCTTCCTCCCCTTTCCCAGCTCCACACAGAAATATAGCCCCTGATTCAAGGAAGCAGACATCCCTTTTTACCGTGCCTGCTGGGCCCTAACTGACTGCTGCCTGATCCTAGCTCATCTAGCTGCTTGAGGACTGATTTTCATTGGTTCCACCTGCAACTGATCCTTGGTGGCCTCTCTAGGCAGCTCAGGAAGGACTAAACTTGGTGCTCTTTTTCCCCAAAAGGACACCTCCTTCAGGCAGGGTGCACCAAGATGGTAGGGCCTCCAGCAGAAGCCAACAAATGCCTGGTACACTCTGTCAGTCATTAAACTACAGCTGCACTGGTGCTGGAAAACAGGTATGAAGTTTTGTAGTGTAGAGGCAAGGGAGAACCCTGGAAGTTTTGTCTGAATAATGACTACAGGATCAGGCCCATGCCATCTGAAGTGCATGAATAAGATAGAAAGGGCTGAATTCTACTCTGTTAGAGTAAAAGAACTTGTATTGAAGTGAAAGGGACGGCACTTGAGGATAGAATTAGCGTAAGTGCTTTAGGTGATGTCATACATTTGCGGGAGAGAGACAAACTAAACAGATTTTGTAGTATATTTGCCACTGTCAAATCTAACAAAAGTTGAAATACAGGTTTCACTTCTTGCACTAAAGCTTCATAAAGACTTGCACATCAAGTCTCAACCTCAAGAGGCCAATTATTCTCATTTCCTGATGAGCTGGGTTATATCCTCGAAGTGTGTGTATTCCCATAACCCAGTGCCAAAACAAGTAGTACATAGTTCAGATTTCTGTTCTATGTTCTGATGAATGGGTCAGTGTTTTGCTAAAACACATGCAAGACGGATAGCATTCACCTTTCAACAGTTTCGGTGTACCATTTATTAGCTCTCAAACCCACTAAAGAGAATTTAAATGCTGTTTAAGATATGCCATGAAAATCTGGGAGATAAAGAATCAAAGGGATTTGCAGTCAAATGGAAGCTAAGATAGAAGCTACTCCAGCACTAAGTGAGATCCAATTTAGATTATATTTGTGGAAGACAAGCTCCCAGATCACTGAACCTTAACAACATCAGCATCTATCAATAATTTTCATATTCATTAGTTTTCCTTTTTAAAACGTTTGAACTAGTTTTGACATCAATTTTCTGATCTAGGGCAGATTCTGGCACCCACAGTTCAAGAAGGATATTGGTAAGTTGGTGAGGGAGCAGAGAAGCGCCACAAGAATGATTAAAGGATTGGAAATCATGTTTTATAGTGATAGCCAAGCAGCTCACTCTGTTTAGCTTAACAAAGAGAGGATTAACAAAGAGAGGTGACTTATTCCCAGTCTATACGTACCAAAATGGGGAACAGAAATTTGGTAATAGAGGGATCTTCGATTTAGCAGATAAAGGTACAACAAGATTCAGTGGGTGGACACTAAAGTGGAGAAAATTAAAACATAACATATCTGGTAAAAAATATACTCTGTTAGGGCCCAAACTTGCCAACATGTATGTAAGTGATTTGATTTGGTAGCTAATGGTGCTGTTTCAGTGAATAAACATTTTTAGCACTTCTTTTTAAAGTGTCAGTGCAATTGCCTGGCTACAACACAAAATGATAAGACAAGACAACTAAAATCAGTGCATATCATCAAATCAGCTTTCCGTAAGAGTTTCAGACATTTTGGAGAACTCTAGTAAAATATTCCAGACCCTTGGACCCACTGCCTGAACACCTGCCTTGATCAAGAGTCTGTGAGTGTGTCTGCTGTGCTTTCCCTTTTAGCTACAAGATTTTCCCAGTCTTTTTGTTCTGTGATTACTTCATATATCTCTTCCTAGTGAGCCAAGGAAAAGAGTGTAGCATCAGGCACCCTTGGAGCTTCAAAAGCAACCCCATTTTGATGACTCTCAGGAAGGACATACCCACCAAATCAAGCTGACTCTCACACTTCATGTGTCTATCTCTTGATGCCATTTTAGTTGCCTAAAAATAGATATTCAGTCTAGAATACAACAATGGCATGGAGTACAAAGTATGAGTTCTAATGCAATGGCTTAACTAAGAGACTACTTTTATAGCATTTAGAGAAGAGGTGTTTACTTGTAAAAATGAAATGTTTTTAATCAAACAGTAGAGCATGTTTGAAAGAAATCATCAAAATTATTGACAGATTATGTCTGAGACGAATCAAGTAGTTTCAGGCTATTCAACCCAGGCATAGGGCCTCTTCTGGGCAGCATCTGCGTGGATTCCCAAGAGTATAAGAGGCGCCCCTCTGCCACCACACATCCAAGCAGCAGCTGGCCAGATTCCACACCAGAAGTGTAGTTCTTGTCTCTTTCCTTCTGCCCATTGGTGCCTAGGTGTCTGAAACGGGCCAGGGAGGGTCCATAGCTGACCTTCCCCATAGTAGCCACTGGATGAGTACACTGCACCCTCTGCTACGGGAGGTGCAGTTCCTGGGAGCCCAGATTTCTTTCTGCAGATGCCAGCTGGTGGCATGGCACCTTTAGTTCTCACATTGCCTATGATAAATCCTATCCCTCAGAAAAGGGGCTGTTTTTATAGATAGTTTATTTCTATGGAAGTGAATCATTTACATATATACGTCAAGTTCTCTGAAGGCTTTTCCTATTTGAGGGTGGAGATGACTAGATGCGAGTTCATGTATGTAGTGACTAATAAAATCATAGATTAATGTATATTTACCATTAGGATTAAATGAATTTGAGTCTTAATATATAAGCATTTTTTGCACCACAATTTCTTAGTAATGATGGGTCAAACTCAAACTACTCAGTCAAGGAAGTTACATGAACAGCTTCGATTGCAGGAATTTGGCCCACTCCTTCCAGTAATAGACTGAATATGTGAAACTGAGAAACAGTTTATCTCACCATTTTAAATAGAGAAAAGGACAGATAGAGTCTGTTCTGGGTTTTGGGTGAATATTCAGGGAAACAGGGGAGTTCTGATATTATCCAAACCAGTTGTTACTAGCATGTAGGGAAAGTACCAATGAAGACGACAACAAAGATTGATAAACCTGTCTCTTCTGTTAACATTCCCAGGTCCTGATGGAGAGAAAACTTGGCCCAAGAAGTATCCATTTTGTGGAGGAGTATTCCAGTCTCCAATAGATTTTCATAATGATATTCTCCAATATGATACCACTCTCTTACCTTTAGAGCTTGTAGGCTACAATGTGTCCTCCACTGACCACTTCATGTTGACCAATAATGGTCATTCAGGTAAGGAAACCAAATGTGCAGCAAGAGAATTTGAAAGAAAGAGTTTCTGGACTTATATTTCATTTCTTATATTATTGGCAGTGATCGACCAAGCCCTTGCAATAGAATACAAACATCTTGGATAACTATCTAAAGAAACTTGTAATTATAAAACACACATCAGTATACCATAAATATAGCTGTTGCACTTTAGATTAACTTACGCTTGTGAAAAGTTTTTCTTATTAATTTGGTTAAAATACTCAGAAATAGGAGCAGAATTTGCAGCTTTGTTTAGAAAGAAGTGAAAAGTCAGTAAATCTGGATGAAGTCACCCTTAATAGATATTGTAATCAACTGGAAAGATAAAAAGTGGTTCACTGAATTTAAGACAAAAATCAAGCAAACCTGGGAGTTTCAGCAAACACCTCTACTACTTGAATGAAGATAGAGAACTTCCTTAAGTGTGAGACAGAAAGACATATATAACCATTAGGATCAGCTTACACACACGCCTAGCGCCCTCCATTGTAGCGTCAAGGCAAGATACCCTACCAACAACAACAGGGATGAGAACAGAGATGAAGCAATCTCTTAAAACCTCAGAATATTTCAATGCCACAAAGCAGAATACTTATAAGCCAATTCCCCACAATTTTTTCTAGAAACAACTTAAAGACTTACAAACGAGAACAGCAGCAAGGCTCTCCTGCAGCACATCCTTCTCCAGTACTGCCAAAGCGTCAAAAAACCCTGCATTATAAAATACCTCAGACTTCACCCCTTCCCAGCATGCTTTGTTAAAAGGAGCTTGACAGGCAAGCCCCTCTTTTCTCACTGTTTCTGTGGGATAAACATGCTCTGTACCATACCCGTAAATAGCCAGGTCCCCCAAGGAATTGTACTGGAATCAGTTCTGTTCAACATATTCATAAATGACCTGGAAAAAGGGGTAAACAGTGAGATGGCAAAGTTTGCAGATGATATGAAATTCCTCAGGATAGTTAAATACAAAGCAGACTGTGAACAGTTACAAAGGGATCTCACAAAATTGGGTGACTGGGCAACAAAACGGCAGATGAAATTCATTGTTGTTAAATGCAAAGTAATACACATTGCAAAACATAATCCCAACTATACATACAAAATGATGGGGTCTAAATTTGCAATTATCACTTAAGAAAGAGATCTTGGAGTCATCGGGGATAGTTTTCTGAAAACAGCTGCTCACACAACTCTCCCAGTCAATTCACATTCCATGTATTAAATTCTACAAGAATATAGGGGGGAAATGTTCTAGACCAGGGATCGGCAACCTTTGGCAGGCTGAGGGATGTGCTGGCCACTGCTTCCCATCGCCCCCATTGGCCTGGAGCGGTGAACTGCGGCCAGTGGGAGCCACGATCGGCCCAACCTGTGGATGCGGCAGGTAAACAAACCAGCCCGTCCCGCCAGGGTGCTTACCCTTGCGGGCTGTGTGCCAAAGGTTGCCGATCCCTGTTCTAGACTCCCTTAAATTGCCTAGAGAGTTCCAAAGACTGCTAAAAATGATAATCTTCCAGATACTATAACATATGGCATGTGCTGGATTCTGGGTTAAGAGCCTGAATGGTTTATTCTGCTATTCTAATTCTCTGTATCCAATAAAGTCAGACACACTAGTTCTGTGAACCAAGTGCATCAACACAGCAATATAATCTTCTCCCATATTTTTTGGTCTACTTGCAGTAAGAATGAGTCTGTTTCCTACCATGCACATCAGAAACCTCCCTTTCCAATACACCGCAACTCAGCTTCACCTACACTGGGGAAACAGGAACAAGCCAGAAGGCTCGGAGCACACAGTCAGTGGAAGGCATTTTGCAGCAGAGGTAAGATGGTCTCAAGTCAGAGAAATCTGGAAGGGAAAGTTAGACAGTTCCCACTATTTCAAAGCTAAAATTTGTATAGGCAGTGGTTGATGTATTCACCACTTGTGTATAAGAACATTCTGCCAAAGAAGGCACACAGGCATTAATTTAAGCACTTATGCTTTTAATATTTAATATATCCTATATCAAGATGCTACGGATTTAGGCTGGACTCAGTAAGTGGTATGGCTTTGTTGCTAAAGCATGACACTAGGAATCAAGAGATCTGAGTTCTACTCTCAGTACTGACACTGGCTTGCTCTGTAACTTCAAGCAAGTTATGTATTCTCTTGGCACCTCAATATCTCCACAATGGGGATAGTGATTAGCTACAACAAAGGTGTTTTGTGAGGCTTAATCTCACTGTTTTGACATGCTTTGTGATAGCTTTTATATAGATGTATCCATCAGACTAAGAATGATTTGGTAGGTCTTTTCCACTTCTACCTTTCCTGATTCTGTCATACTGATTTAGGAATAGATATTGAAAAGCAGCACCAACTGCTAAATCACTGAGAAAGCATTGAATCAAAATGTTTGGCTTTTCAAAATTGATCCAAGTGTTTTGCTTAGAGGTTCGCATACATGTAAACTTAAAATGTTTGTAGCATGCAGATACTCTAAATTCTGCTGCTTAACACCTATCTATCCAACTGGAGACTAGAGATGATGCAGAGCACTGTTTAAGTAACAATGTGTAATTATGCTCTTTGTTGCATGACACAAGCTCAAATAGTCTCTGTGCAGTTCTGCTTGGGTTCAGTGTAGCAGATTTGGAAGTGCTATGTAACCGTTACATGAATAGTGTCTGGATCCTGGTCGGCAACATAAGGTTCTATATAGTTAGATTGGTTTAATAGAATTTCCTGTATGAATGTATTCGTCTAGCTTAATAGGGGGCTGTTGGAAAAACAGCAGGGAAACAACGCAATGGATCTAGATAGGCCATACTCCAAAAATATTTGTGGGGCAATTACAGGAAAACGGCCTACTTCCAGGTTCCAATCCAAAGTTGCACTGTTGTTTTGCCAGTTCTGGACACTAACAGATCAAAGAGCTACAAAACAGTTTAAAACTGACACATTCTCTGAGAAGAGACTGAGCAGCTTGTAAAGGAGTCATTCCCTGAAGCAGTGGGGAGAAATGATTGGTGAGTTATGGGATGAAACCATCACATAGCCTATAGCGGTCTTTGAGTGCCTGTAGGATGCTCAGACCTACCAGAATCCTGACTGCTCAGATGGGCAGGCACCTGGTAAACTAGACATGCGCATAATCTGTTATTGTTTTAAGAACTTTTTCTCTGCAGTGGTTTTGTTCTAAATAAATAATGCTCGGCTTTAAGAAGGCTGTCTGATTACTGGATACCACCATCAGTGTTCTTGGCATTAACAGACCTGCAGCTATGAACTATAAAACAGACCTGCTGAGGTAATTACAGTTAGCACCTGGGAATGGCAGTCCAAGGCCTGATCTGAGAGTGGGAGAATTGCATGAACCCACCCCAAGAGCGGTGATGGCTTGAGGCCTGAGAGAGGGTGCATTTGCACAGACCAGGAGGGGTCTGTAATGGTGACAATCAGTTCTAAAAGCATACAGCACAATTCATGGAAATCTATTTTAGTAATCAATACTGGATTTAGCAATGAATAATTATATGCTCAATTTATTCAATTTATAATCCCAGAGTAATTACAAGTCTATCTGAAATTGAAGTAGGATTAAAGGTACAATTCTAGGCTAAGGACAATAGCCATACCCTTTGCTGAAGCTATTGGAAAGGCCATTTCTTTCTCACGGGCTAACTCCAACAGTGGAGACTTCCCCTTCTTTAGTGGCTGTGGGAAGGGGTTCTGTGCAGTTCAAATATTTTTCAGAATAAGTTTGTCTGTTACTTTAAATCCCTGCTCTACATACACCAAGTCATCGCGAGGGTGAAGTTGGAGAAATCCAGTCAAACATAATTCATTAATGAAAGCTCATTCAGTTGGATGTATATATGTTAGCTGGTTAAGGAGACTTGTTTCTAAAAGGAATTTAACCTTCCAATTTCCGAGATACAACTATATCTCAGTATCTTCACTTGCACTCCTAAATTTAAATTCAGGAGTGCTAGAATGTTTGGTGCCTCTGCCTACTCTATTCAATATAGGTTCTTATACCATGCTCATCACTATAATAGCTGGGCACTTTACAGTAGTGCATTAAGCAATGTGACTAACCTCTCATGTGTGATTTGTTCTCTCATCTTCTGTCCATGGGGAGAATTGTATGTACAATGCAGTGCTTTGTTTTGGTAGGTTTTTTTGTGGTTGTCAGGGTGGGGAGCTAATGCCTATCTCAGGCCACTTCATTCATATGGTAATTCATAAGACTTCTACCAGGAGATTTTCTGGTTTGTAATAAATAGTTTTGGGACAGGCACAGAACAATGCTGTTTGGCCTAGGGTGGACAGGAGGAGATATGAGGCCAGAATCCTCTCACACTAACACCAGCATGACTCAAGATTAACTCCATTGACTTCAACAGAATTCCTCTGGATTTATATTGCTGCAAAAGAAAAGAAAATGCATAACTGCCTATTTCCTACATGTAGCAACCAAGGGTGTAGCCAGTCTTGTTTTGGCTTAATTCACACACTTTAACATGAAATAACTGCACAGCTGGTGACTTGCTCAGCTATCCAAGACTACATCAGAGAGCCTAACCACAATATTATCCAATTAATACACTAAATGCTCGTGTTAAGCAAGTTAATTGCATAACTTCTGAAGAGTTTGCATAATATTATATAGTAACAATGTAATAGATGATGTTCCATATGGGACAGGAAAGTAGGGTAAGGTACGTAGCAAAGCCCAGGGGAAAGCTTAGTAAATCAGGCTTCCATCAGAGAATTCCCAGTGCTCATCTGATGTTTTAGTGGAAAATTTCCAAACTGTTAAAGAGTGATCCATCAAGCAAGACCAAACCAAGCATCAGCTTCCAGAACATGATTTTGTTAATACTAATAATCTTTAATTGATAGGTACCTATACATGAGGTCTCTGGGAATCTTAGCAACAGTAAACTGAACACACTATTTACACTAAATTCTTGACTCTTTTTTGAAAACAGTAAGCATATCAAAATTCACTATTAGATTTCTATGTTCCCGAATCACTGTGAACTGAGAGACTAAGGGTATGTCTACACTACGAAATTAGGTTGAATTTATAGAAGCCGGTTTTATAGAAATCGGTTGTATACAGCCGATTGTGTGTGTCCCCACATAAAATGCTCTAAGTGCATTAAGTCGGTGGACCGCGTCCACAGTACCGAGGCTAGCGTCGACTTCCGGAGCGTTGCACTATGGGTAGCTATCCCACAGTTCCCGCAGTCTCCGCCGCCCATTGGAATTCTGGGTTGAGATCCCAATGCCTGAATGATGCAAAACAGTGTTGCGAGGGGTTCTGGGTACATGTTGTCAGGCCCCTCCCCCTCCATCAGAGCAATGGCAGACAATCGATTCGCGCCTTTTTACCTGGGTTACCTGTGCAGACAACATACCACGCCAAGCATGGAGTCCGCTCAGCTCAGCTCACTGTCACCATATGTCATCTGGGTGCCGGCAGACGTGGTACTGCATTGCTACACAGCAGCAGCTAATTGCCTTTTGGCAGTAGACGGTGCAGTATGACTGGTAGCCTTCATCAGCGATCTGGGTGCTGGCAGACGTGGGGCTGCATTGCTACACAGCAGCAGCCCCTTGCCTTTTAGCAGTAGATGGTGTATTACGACTGGTATCCGTCGTCATCATACTGCCGTTCGATCAGATGATGGCTGAAACTCCGTATGTCCCCCAGTCATATTCTGCTGCCTTCCTAATGATGATGGCGGCTATCTGTCGTAGTACACTATTTTCTGCCAAGCACCCAGAAGATGCCGAGGGCTATCAGTCATGCTGCACCGTCGTCTGCCAGCTTAAGATGTAAAAAATAGATTTGTTCTGTATTCATTTGCTTCCCCCCTCCCTCCGTGAAATCAACAGCCTGCTAAACCCAGGGTTTTGAGTTCAATCTTTGGGGGGGCCATTCTGTGTGACAGTTGTTTGTGTTTCTCCCTGATGCACAGCCACCTTTGTTGATTTTAATTCTCTGTACCTGTATGCCATGTCGTCACTCGCCCCTCCCTCCGTCAGACAATAGTTTCGCGCCTTTTTTCAGACCAGACGCCATAGCACTGGGATCATGAAGCCCGCTCAGATCACCGCGGCAATTATGAGCACTATGAACACCACACGCATTGTCCTGGAGTATATGCAGAGCCAGGACATGCCAAAGCAAAACCAGGACCAGCCAATGAGGCGATTGCAGCGCGGCGACGAGAGTGATGAGGAAATTGACATGGACATAGACCTCACAGAAGGTACAGGCCCCAGCAATGTGCAAATCATGGCGTTACTGGGGCAGGTTCATGCCGTGGAACGCCGATTCTGGGCCCGGGAAACAAGCACAGACTGGTGGGACCGCATCGTGTTGCAGGTGTGGGACGATTCCCAGTGGCTGAGAAACTTTCGCATGCGTAAGGGCACTTTCATGGAACTTTGTGACTTGTTTTCCCCTGCCCTGAAGCGCCAGAATACCAGGATGAGAGCAGTCCTCACATTTGAAAAGCGAGTGGTGATAGCCCTGTGGAAGCTTGCAACACCAGACAGCTACCGGTCAGTCGGGAATCAATTTGGAGTGGACAAATCTACTGTGGGGTCTGCTTTGATCCAAGTTGCCAGGGCAATCAAAGACCTGGTGATATCAAGGGTAGTGACTCTGGGAAACGTGCAGGCCATAGTGGATGGCTTTGCTGCAGTGGGATTCCCAAACTGTGGTGGGGCGATAGACGGAACCCATATCCCTATCTTGTCACCGGAGCACCAAGCCACCGAGTACATAAACCGCAAGGGGTACTTTTCAATGCTGCTGCAAGCCCTGGTGGATCACAAGGGACGTTTCACCAACATCAACGTGGGATGGCCGGGAAAGGTACATGATGATGTCTTCAGGCACTCTGGTCTGTTTCGAAAGCTGGAGGAAGGGACTTTCTTCCCGGACCAGAAAATAACCGTTGGGGATGTTGAAATGTCTATCGTGATCCTTGGGGACCCAGCCTACCCCTTAATGCCATGGCTCATGAAGCCGTACACAGGCAGCCTGGACAGTAGTCAGGACCTGTTCAACTACAGGCTGAGCAAGTGCCGAATGGTGGTGGAATGTGCATTTGGACGTTTAAAAGCGCGCTAGCACAGCTTACTGACTCGCTTAGACCTCAGCTAAAAGAATATCCCCATTGTTATTGCTGCTTGCTGTGCGCTCCACAATATCTGAGAGAGTAAGGGGGAGACATTTATGGCGGGGTGGGAGGTTGAGGCAAATCGCCTGGCCGCTGATTACACGCAGCCAGACACCAGGGCGGTTAGAAGAGCACAGCAGGGCGTGGTGCGCATCAGAGAAGCTTTGAAAACGAGTTTTGTGACTGGCCAGGCTACGGTGTGAAACTTCTGTTTGTTTCTCCTTGATGAACCCTCCGCCCCCCCTCACCCGGTTCACTCTACTTCCCTGTAAACCAACCACCCCACCCTCACCTCCCCACTTCGAGCACCGCTTGCAGAGGCAATAAAGTCATTGTTACTTCACATTCATGCATTCTTTATTAATTCCTCACAGAAGTAGGGGGATAATTGCCAAGGTAGCCTGGGATGGGTGGGGGAGGAGGGAAGGAAAAGGACACAGTGCAGTTTAAAACTTTAACTCTTATTGAAGGCCAGACTTCTGATGCTCGGGCAATCATCTAGGGTGGAATGACTGGGTGGCCGGAGGCCCCTCCACCGTGTTCTTGGGCGTCTGGGTGAGGAGGCTATGGAACTTGGGGAGGAGAGCTGTTTGTTACATAGGGGCTGTAGCGGCAGTCTCTGCTCCTGCTGCCTTTCCTGCAGCTCAACCATACACTGGAGCATATCAGTTTGATGCTCCAGCAGCCGGAGCATCGACTCTTGCCTTCTGTCTGCAAGCTGATGCCACCTATCATCTTCAGCCCGCCACTTGCTCTGTTCATCCCGCGATTCAGCCCGCCACCTCTCCTCTCGTTCATATTGTGCTTTTCTGTAGTCTGACATTGACTGCCTCCACGCATTCTGCTGTGCTCTGTCAGCGTGGGAGGACATCTGGAGCTCCGAGAACGAATCATCCCGAGTCTGCCATTTTCTCCTTCTAATCTTCACTAGCCTCTGTGAAGGAGAAACATTTGCAGCTGGTGGAGGAGAAGGGAGAGGTGGTTAAAAAAGACACATTTTAGAGAACAATGGGTATACTCTTTCATGTTAAATTTTGCTGTTCACATTACACAGCACATGTGCTTTCGTTACAAAGTCGCATTTTTCCTCTTATATTGAGGGCCTGCCAGTTTGGTGTGAGAGATCACTCACGCAGTGCCAGGCAACAGATTTCGGCTTGCAGGCAGCCATGGTAAGCCACAGTCTTTTGGCTTTTTTAACTTTCTTAACATGTGGGAATGGTTTCAAACAGTAGCGCCCTCATTTCCCATACCAAGCACCTCTTGGGTTGGCCATTTAAAATGGGTTTGCAATGTAAAAGGAGGGGCTGCGTTTCCGGGTTAACATGCAGCACAAACCCAACTACCCCCCCCTCCCCCCCCACACACACACACA